TTTGACAAAAACAAAATCGATTTCTAATTTTGGCATTGACGTTTGACAATGAAATCTCGGTTCTAACAATATAGAAATTAATAAAGTTCTATTTTTAATATATTTTTGTGCAAATATGTAATATAAAAACATAATTTTATATATAGTTACACTAAGAATTAAGTATTTAATATGATTGATATTGAAGTCCATAACAAAAATAATTATGTAGACCTATAACTATAAGTTCCAATTATAACTAAAAGAAGAATTGAATTATGTCTAATTGATGTGTAGATAATTAATTATATATAATTTAAATAACTATAAGCTCGTGTCACATTACATTGTATAACTAATATATATATTAGTTATACACCAAAAATATTTATAATGTTTTGGTCCGTTATTAAATAAAGTATTAAATTCTTTTTCAGCTATGTCAAAGAGTCATTATAATATTTTGTTATGCGAGATTAGTAAATAACAACAACTATGAGCTTGTATCTAATTACAATGATTACTATTACATTCAATTTAAATAATAGTAATAAAAAGCTATCCATGAAAAATATTTAATTTGTTCTATTACATTTAATGTAAATCAAATAATTACAAATAAAAATGTTTTAAGTAATTTTGTAAGCCATACTTTTATTAAATTTTATTTACATTTATAATGTTTGTACATAAAAAGTTAGAAAATTAAAGAATATGGTTATAAAACAAGAATGAGATACCAAAACCTAGCCCCTTATTTTTTTTAACCTCTCCAGCCGTCACACCCTCACCCACTTCCTCAACACCTTCTTCAACCACTAGTACATGTATGTTTCTATCTTCTTTGAATGTCAACTTTTTATCACTAATATATATCTATATATATATATAATAATATTTCTTTGGTTACTTTATTTCTTCCTCTTTATTATTTTCAATTTTCAATGTGCACATCAAACTTTATTTGTAACTTATGCTGGATTTGATAAAAGTATATTTATTCTTCTTCTTAGTTAATTGGGAAAAGAAAAATTGGGAAGAGAAAAGTTTTAATCTTTATGTTCATTATTATTAGATTGATATATCAGTAATAATTTATCTGTTTGCGGTTGTAGCTTCTGAAATATGATTAAGGTGATGCTTATAATAATTTTTGATGAAATTAACTTTGATTCTTTTCTTGTGTAGTTACTGACAATTATGGATTTTTTTACCGATATTCCCATTTTATTGGTGCGAATGGACTCTCTTGCTATTTCCTAGGTATGTTGTTGTTTATGTTAATATATTTATTGGTTTCTTTCCAATAATTTTTCCATGAAAGGATAATGTAGGACTACATGTTTGTTCCTTGATTAAAGGCTTTATTAAAATATAAAACATAAAAATCTAGGGCAAGAGTTTGAGTTGTATTGTTGTCACGACCCGGATTTTCCACCATCGGGAGTCATGATGGCGCCTACTGTTGGAGGGGAAACATGCTGTGGGGAGTATAATAAATTCCAAATAAGAGTCGTCCAATAATAAAGGAATACAGCACAACTCAATAGTACGTAATGAAACAGAATTCAACCAGTGCACGGCATCACCCTTCGTGCTTTTACTCTCGTTCCTTGCATATATCAATAGAATCGGCACGGAATGGTACATCGTGCGGCACGGCATCACCCCAAGCCTCAACTATGGCTTTACCCCGTAATTCCACCTCCAAAAACACTCCCGAGCCCTCGGGGCTCCCAACCAATCACACACACTAACTCAACAACATCCTACGAACTTACTCGAGCGATCAAATCGCCAAAACAACATCAAAATCATTGAATCAAACCTCAAAATCATCATTTTTCATTCTAACTTCACAAACTTCAAACTTTAGATATTTAGGTCCGAAACACGTCAAACGACGTCCGTTTTCGACCAACCTTTACAGAAAGCGCTTAACATATATTTAAGACTTGTACCGGGCGTCGGAACCAAAATACGAGCCCGATACCATAATCTTTTAATCAATTTTTATTTCCATTTTCCTTAATAATTTCAGAAAAACAATTTCACAGAAAAATTCTTTTACTCGGGTTCTAGACCTCGAATTTCGACTCCGGGTACATGCCCGAGTCCCATATTTTTCTACGGACCATCCGGGACCGTCAAATCACGGGTCCGGGTCCGTTTACCAAAAATATTGACCGAAGTCAACTTTAATCATTTTAAAGCCACATTTTGAAATTTTTCACAGAATTTAACATATAATCTTTTCAGCTACGCGCCCGGACTGCGTACGCAAATCGAGGCAACTAAAGGTGAGGTTTTCAAGGTCTCGGAAGCACGGAAAAAGAGAGAAATCCGGTGATGACCCCTTTGGGTCGTCACAATTGTAAAATATTTGGAGTTTTACTGTCCTTGTTAAAATTACTGAGAGTTTCATTATCTCATAAATTGGTCATATAAGCAATGTTAAAGGAGATATTAGTGAAGTTTGTAATAACTAAATTATTAGAGAGACATATGAATTTTTTTTTTGTGAGAAGGTAATCTATAATACTTCTCTAGAAAATACTTGACCATTCTGGACCTATTAAAAAGTTCATATATAATCAATTATTTTTGTTTTCTAGTGTTAATTTGCTTTATGAAAATTGCACGCAAACTTGAGGAATCAAGAAAGCAGCAATGACAAGCTAAGACCGATATTGATCAAACCAAGATGAAGTTCGAGCAGTGGCAAGAGAGAAAGGAGAAGATTGTGCGGCCTCGGGTAAAATATTGCTAACATGATCAGATTCATAGAGGATTACATATTGTAAATGTTTCGAAATTTTGAATATACAATTATGTAAAAACTTGGAACCTATTTTGGAATTTGAAAGATTTGGATATTTAGCTTAAAATTTCTTGTGGCTAACAATGTTTGTGGCAAGTTTTTTAATTTGTAGCAATGGAATTGTTGAATGTGTAGCTAAATAAACATATATATAATTGCTACGTAACAATAATATGGCTATACATTTTTACTTGTTATAGCAAATGAAAATTTTTTGCTATAGATTTATGTGTTTCATGGCAAAAGAGTAGGTTCATAGCTATAAAAAAAAAGTACTCGCAACTAAATATAAGTACTATTGCCACGAGGCTAAACTATAAAAATAGCTACAAGAATTAAATTTTCGTGGCAAATAAATTAAATCTTTTGCCACCGTAGAACACCTTGTGTCTATAGTATAAATATTGCTACAGAGTTTATTTTCCGTGGCAAAACAATAAGATTATTTGCTACAACTATATAGTTCGTGGCAAAAAAGTTTACTAGTATAGCTACAATACAAAAGAAAATTCGAAGCAATATGTATTACTCCTTAGCCATAGACCATTTAAAGTTTGTAGCTAACTTTTAGTTATGCTACTTTTTGCTACGAATGCTACGGAAATATTTTATGTAGCTAAAGCGTTTAGCTACGGAAATTTTCATATTTAGCTATGATATATTTCGTAGCTATAGATGCATAATGTTGTAGTGGAAGATATTAAATCTTTCCTTTATTTATAGTCTCAATATAATCAACCGCTTTCGCGCATACTTTGGAAACTGAATAAGTTTCTTTGAGACTTACTACAACACAATACCTTATTGGTAATCAATTTTATTCCTCCAAAATAATAATAATTGGCTCTTCCAGAGCTCTCAATTAATTTGTACTACCACATATTCATCAACATCATATGGTGAATATCTCTTTTAAAGAGAAAGTTATATCATTATAGTCATGGTCAAAATTATATGCAAGATCTGTTTCTTGCATTACTGTTATTCTTTAATAATCACATTACCAAAATATTTTGGCGTACAATAGGTACGTGACCAATGACCATTCATGCCATAATAATGATATTATTTTCTTATATCATCTCAAACCTCCTTCTAGAGGTGAGTGCGTGGTATATTCACTACCACAAGCACGTTCATATTCTTTCAAATATGAATATGTATTCATAAATCAGATGTTGTCACATTCACATCATGAATTGACCATAGTCATCTGTATGTGCTTTACAAAATCTTATGTCAAATCGATGACAAACATTAACTTCATAGAGTGAAGGATTATTTTGAGAATCCTTATTATTCTCATTACCACGATAATGACGATTATAATTTCGTCTATTACCACGTCCACATCCATAGATACCTTTATGGTAATAATTTTGTCTTCTTTCAGACTTATCACATATTGCTATCACATTCTCTTAAGGGAATGAGAATGAAGCAAATTCAATGGGACGGGTTTTCACTTCTTTGCCCACGATCATACATGAATTTGATCATGGCAAGGCATAGAATTTTTACCACTTCAGGTGGTTATAATTTCTTACAAACTCCATTAGAGTTATAATCAAACTTTGTTGTCTTTGCTTGTATATAAAATCAAATTATAGAATCTCAAAAATTTAAAAGAGAAAAATAAAGTAAGATACTTACCTTAAATCCAGGTTTTAATCATGAAGGAAGTTCATGGAACAATTGACAATCATTATGCTCAATCCCAAAGCTTCTACTCAATTGGTTAGAGTCTCGTGCTGATAACGTGTTATAAAACAATAAATGAAGAACAAGAGTATTGCAGAGAAAAGTAAAGAGAGAGAATTCTTATTGGTATTGGATGAATTACAATAGAATAAAACCCTCTATTTATAGGAAGAGAGTGACTTAGCCACCAAGTAATAAACCCTAGAATCTCTCTAAATATAGACATTCATCATAAATAAAATTCTATTTATAACAGGATTATATATTTTGTGACTCCTATAGTATTAATTAGGATTATATACGCATCTATCAGGCTTGTTTACAGAACCACACGTAGGACTAGGTTCTTCAACTGGTAATCAACCAACTAAATGGTTACGTAATTGTTTGTTAATCATCAAAATCACCGGAGCTCAACACTCTATAATTTTGCATAAAGAGTTAAAATGGCATATATAAATTATAAATGAGTTGCATGCATCATCCTCAGCATACAAGGATGGATTGCCACCCGCATCTAAGGTACGTCCGAAATAGAGATGGGAAGACAGCTGATGAATTATTCGAAGAGAACCACTTGCGTTTAAGGAAAACAGCACAGAGGGAGAGTATTGAAATGATCAACAGCATCATAGTTGTGGCAACCCTTTTCTGTACAGTGAATTATGCAGCATTGTTTACAGTACCAGGAGGTTTCGATCAGAATTCTGGTGTACCTGTTCTCAACAAAGACAACACCTTCTACAAGTTCATAGTGGTCGTTTATTCAGCAATACTTTGTTCCTTCATAAGTTTGTCAGCTTTATTATCATTCCAACGTTCTGCTTTTTACGTTGAAGAATTCTATATTTCTTTGCCTTTAAAAGCTAGTGCTGCTTCTATTTGTTTGATGTTGGCTGGGATCTTCACTGTCACTGCTTCTGCATTAGCATTAATTCTTGAAAGCAAGAGAGTTAACTCCTTCATCTTACTTTGCCTATTGCCTGTAGGTTACACTCTTATCAATATTCCCGTCTTCATTGATATGAGCTATCGTGTCTTTTTTTCTTTTTTGGTTTCCCACCCGATGTCCGGTACTTGCATTGGAGCCCGGCTACATTTGTATCATGTTATTCTCGACTTGTTGTTTAGTTTAAAGTTAATGTACATCCACATCCGTCTATGTATTACAGATATTTGTCATTCATTAATAAACCTTTGTTTGGTTTAGAAACAAGTTACTTAGGAATTGTAATACAATGATTAGTACCTTAGTAATATTGCATGGATTGCATGAAGACATTGTTTTTACACGGTGTTTGATTTTTTGTATTAAAATTGAGATATACGGTATATATATAATCTAAAACATATGTTTGGTTTTAAACTGCATAAATTCTTAATTTCAAATGCACATGCCATTCTCAGGGATGCTCTTTAGATTAGCCCGTAATTAATTTTTCTTGAAATTTTAAACTAAAAATTTTAACTTCAGGTATATTTAGATCATTTTGTCCCAAAAATTTGAACTGAATAATTAATATTCACGACGCACTGGCTAATTCTTAAATAGCAGCCCTTTAGCGTGGCTAGCTACTGTCATTTCTACTTAAGAAAGGCTAGGGAAGAAGGATAATTAATTAATTTAGTCACTTGGATTGTTTAATCCATGTACATATAACTAGGGGTGTTCATAAAAACCTGAAAAATCGAACCAAACCGGAAACCAACTAAACCGACCAAAAAATTATACTTTTGGTNACATTCTAGTTTGATTGGTAGTTTTCTTTTGTCAAGTGTAAGAATTCATTTCGTGTTAAAAATAATATATTTTTAATTGAGTCCTTAAATTATTCTCACTATTTGATTCAATTATCATCAATATATCTTGGTAAATAATAGATTTCTCAAAGAGCAATTGATTTGATAGTGTTACGTTAAAAATGCGGTCACCGGAATATGTGTTTGGTAGTGAACGTCTTATATTTAAGAAAAACCCGACAAATAACCGAAAAAATCGAAAAATCGACAAAATCCGACATAAACCGAATCGAGAAAAAATTGACTTAATTGGTTTGGTTTGGTTCGAATATTTGAAAAACCGACTTACTTGGTTTGGTTTCTTTTTAGAGAAAAATCAATCCAAACCGAACCATGAACACCCCTACATATAACCCATAAGGAAGAATTTAACCAAATAATAATAATAATAATAATAATAATAATAATAATAATAATAATAATAATAATAATAATAATAATAATAATAATAATAATAATAATCAATG